TTTTTTTTTTTTATGCAAAAGTTACCAGTTTCCCTTGTGACTATTTATTTTTAATTTTTAGACTTCTTATACATTAAGGATGTTAAGAATGAACTGATGTTATAAAAGTGTCTGGTTGGGTTTTTACAGGGTGTTGATGGTGAGGAACGTTGCATACCTGTCCACCAGCGCAGAGGTACACTGAATCGATAAGCCGTGAAAATGTGTTTCCGGTTGCCAGCCAAAGACGGGGTTTTCAGCATGACTCATCCGTCAAACGTTCTGATTTGATCATTTTCCACAATCATTTTCATAGCTCAACTAGTATATCACATTTACTGATGATAGCAGCTGTCACTGATATTAGTTCTTTTCTAAAATCTGCACACTAGGTATCTATCTTATAAGGCAGAAGTTCCCAACCTTTTTCTGAGAGGTCATATTCCTCTTGAGCATGTTGCTAAGATGATCGCGGTTATCTAATAAGCATTAAAATGCATCACAGAAGAGATAAGCAGCTCGTTATGTGCAGTTCTTTAATGTTTCACATACATAATTATTATTCACCAAAAAATATTTTGAGCACAGTAAGGAAGAGAGCATGTAATTGGTTGAGGTGTTTACGTGCACCAAGGGTATCGTTCAATTGCTTGCTTTTTCAGTTTGCCATTTATTGTAAGTTACGTATATCTTCATGTTTTCAGATCTGTCTCCCACTACTGATGCACTGTATGAAGATGTTGTTATGGCGCTCACTGTTTTCTGTGACAAAATGGAGTCTGTCTCCAAGTAAGCTTTGCATATCTTCAACTTGTTGTTGGGTTGTTATTATTAGACTAGCATTATTAGTGGTGTTTGCTCACATTACTGTAGCTCCTACTCGCAGTATAATAGCAAAATTGTAACCCAGGGTTGTACAATCCTGCTTCTAGAGGGACACTGTCTTGCAGTTTTTTTATTAAGTATTGCAGAAACGTCTAACAGACAGTATGAATGATGCCTCAAATCACATGTATTGTTGTTTTAACAAATTTTTTTTTGGTCCCACTTTATATTAAGTGGCCTTAACTACTATGTACTTACATTTAAATTAATAATTTGGTACAGTGCACTTATTGTGTACATACATGTTTTTGCATTGTACTTATATCTTAAAAATACCTGCATGTAATTACTTCTGTAATTAATGTAATTACATTTATAATTACACTGTTGACCCATCCCTTACACCTTAACCCACCCTTAAACCAACCCATACCACCAAACCTGTCCCTAACCTTACCCATATCCCACCTCAGTAGCAGCAAAAGTGTTTTGCAATACAATGTGAACACAATAAGTACATTGTACCTATTTTTTATGTAAATACACTTAATATAAAGTGGGACAATTTTTTTTGTTGATGAACAAAAAAATGGCATAGAAATCCCATTTACTTGGAGGATGAATATTAGCATTGTGACAGTGAGTTTCGAACACCTCTCATATAAAGTGTAAAAATATAGGATAGTTCATTCTGACTTTGAGCAAGAACTCAAAAAGTCAATCTGTTCTACCCTTTATCAGAATATGCGTACTTCCTTACTATATAGTATGTGAAAAAGACTTTATTCACAATGGCGCCGGCGCTGATGGCTGCCTCCGTGGCGTGCTCTGCAGTTGTTTTTATGTTTTTGTTCTGTCACTGTCATTCTGTTACACTGTGGAGCTTCTGTCATGAAAACAAATTCCTCGTATGTGTAAACATACCTGGCAATAAAAACTCATTCTGATTCTGAAAACAGTATGTAAAATGAGTTGTATGTCCAAATTGGAGTATAAAACAGTAGGCGAAAAGTGACCTCCTACTACCACCAAGATTTTAAAGTGAGCATCCAGTGGACACTTTACTATCCCTTGAAGCCACAGGAGAGGAGTTGTGAATGGGAGTAAAGTGATGCATAGGTCACATGACAAAGCCAACATGGTGGCATGTCTGGATTTCATTCATATTGCACACATTTATACTATAAAGAACATATTTTTAATGGTCATGAAGTTCGTTCCTCATAAATTTTTTTTTACCTACTCCATATGTGATTTCAGACATTTATCTAGTGTTTTAATGTGTGTGTGTGTGTGTGTGTTTCTTTAGTGAAAACCAGCTGCTGCAGCTGTTGTACCTGGAGTGTATTCTGTCTATGCTGAGCAGCTGTCCTCCCACAATGCACCTGCATCGCAATTTCACTGACCTCATCTGGTGAGACATGTCCTTGTTCTCTGTGCACATTTAAATCAAATGTAGCATGTCTGGATTTCATTCATATTGCACACATTTATACTATAAAGAACATATTTTTAATGGTCATGAAGTTCGTTCCTCATCAATTTTTTTTACCTACTCCATATGTGATTTCAGACATTTATCTAGTGTTTTAATGTGTGTGTGTGTGTTTCTTTAGTGAAAACCAGCTGCTGCAGCTGTTGTACCTGGAGTGTATTCTGTCTATGCTGAGCAGCTGTCCTCCCACAATGCACCTGCATCGCAATTTCACTGACCTCATCTGGTGAGACATGTCCTTGTTCTCTGTGCACATTTAAATCAAGGGTCTCTGCAATTTATGTAGTTAAAAGTAGCTCAACTTATGCACAAGTATTATTGCTTTTCATTTTTAATACGCAATTAATTGCATTAATTTAACATTAAATTGACAGCCTTCAAAACCATATATTTTACTATGTGATTGCAAGTGTAAATAAATGACAACTTAAAGGGTTAGTTCACCCCAAAATTAAAATTCTGTCATTAATTACTCAGCCTCTTGTCGTTCCAAACCCGTAAGACCTTCGTTCATCTTCGGAACACAAATTAAGATATTTTTGATGAAATGTGAGAACTCTCTGACCCTGCATAGATAGCAACGCAACTGTAATGTTCCCAGAAACGTAGTAAGGACATCGATAAAACGGTCCATGTGACATCAGTGGCTCAACTTCAGCTGAACTGAAGTATTCAGAGAATACTTTTTGAGCGCAAAGAAAACAAAAAAAACTATTTATTTAACAATTCTTCTCCCCCGAGTTACGTTTCCCGCCATTTTGGAGAGTACCCAAGAGCGTAATCGACGTAATCAGCATTGTTTACGTTTGTTTACGTTTCCGTTTCACCACCCCCCCACCCCCCCCGGAGCTGTGTGAGACACTTTTCTTTTTATGGATGAGCGCTTTTTATTTAACTTCTTTTGAACTGATGCTCTGCAACACCCACTGACTGCCATTAAACAGCTTGAAAGATCAAAGACAATTTTTTTTATATAACTCCGACTGGATTCGTCTGAAAGAAGAAAGTCATATACACCTAGGATGACTTGAGGGTGAGTAATTTATGGGCTAATTTTCATTTTTGGGTGAACTAACCCTTTAAATAAATTGTTATTTTTGTTTTCTTTGCGCTCAAAGTATACTCATAGCTTCGCAAAACTGAAGTTGAGCCACTGATGTCACATGGACTGTTTTATCGATGCCCTTACTACGTTTCTGGACCTGGGAACATTACAGTTGCCTTGCTGTCTATGCAGGGTCTGAGAGCTCTCACATTTCATCAAAAATATCTTAATTTGTGTTCCGAAGATGAACGAAGGTCTTACGGGTTTGGAATAACATGAGGGTGAGTAATTAATGACAGAATTTTCATTTTGGGGTGAACTATCTCTTTAAAGTATCCTCCACCATACTTCAGTGGGAACCTTGATATTTCCTAAGTATGTCAAAAAAATATTACCATTGTACAATAAACGCATCTATTTCTTTAAAGCGCATAATCTCAATCTGTGTTACTTTGGTTTTACAAAGTGATTATTATGATTCTGGAGGATCTTGCTGCAATTAAACATCATCAGTGCGGGTGTACTGTCTACACACAGGAAGCAGTTGTGTCCAACTCTTGTGGTGATTATGGGAAACCCAGCGAGTGATAAAACCATCACCTCTGCCCATGGTGGGCAATCCCAGGACTCAGACGCAGCACCGGGGACAGCGGTCTTGGATCAGGGCCGGGGTTCTGGCTGCTCATCAAGTGCTCCCGTCATGATTGGGCCAGTTGTTCGCACCATCTGCTATGTGGCAGCAGAGTTAGTCCGTCTGGTGGGCTGTGTCGAGTCCATGAAGCCTGTTTTGCAGTCCCTGTACCACCGTATTCTGCTCTACCCACCACCCCAGCACAGAGTGGAGGCCATCAAGATCATGAAAGAGGTGACACCTTCACACTTAGTATGCACACACAGTGTATTCTACTTACACACTATGTCATACTTCTAGTGTAACATCTCTTCTATGATGATCTAAATAGTAAAACACTTTAGACTTTTTTTTTTAATTATGTGGTGAAACATACAGTACTATATGCATATGCATTATTTCAAAATGCTTCTGGCTATGCATACTCAATTTCATGTGCCGCTGCATTTCAGAAGATTCTCATTTTATGCCACAGACATGGGAAAAAAAAATCTCTACTGCTTCCTTGAGTACTCAGGTTTTCCTGTACTAATAAACATGCAGTTATTCCCCCTGCCCCCCTCCAGATTGTGGGAAGTCCTCAGCGCTTGTTCGACCTGGCCGGCCCATGCGTCATTGAGCCTGAGACAAGAAAGCGGTCTTTCTCAAAAAGGAAGTCACATCTTGATCTTCTCAAACTGTAAGATATTTTGTTTCTTATTCAGTGACATTCAGACATATAAAGGCTGTTTCACACTGCACAAACAGATGGCGACCAACAATCACTTCAGTTTGTCTCTTGAGAAGGCCAAAATCTTAAAGAGGTCATGATATGAAAAATCAAATTTGCCTTGATCTTTTGGCATATAAGGGGATTTTTTTGTACCATTAAAACATCCTGCAAGTCAGGGTTGCCAGGTTTTCACAACAAAACCCGCCCAATTGCTACTCAAAACTAGCCCGATCGCGTTTCAAGGGGGGTAAAATAAATTTTTCGGCAGGGTTCCTCCAGTAAAATTCGCATTCCAGGGGCTGAATATCAAGTTATTAGGGGCGCTTCAACCCGCTGACATAAAAAAACAACCCGCAGCAACAGTGTTAAAGTAGCCCAATTCCACGGGAAAACCGTGGACTTTGCAACACTGCTGCAAGTTTCATAGCTTAAAACATCCTCCTCATTATAAACAAAAGCATTTATTTAATCAAGCTCCAAAAATGGCTCGTTAGGATCTGAGGTGCAAGATAACATCACCTGGGCACAAACATTTGCATAAACACCACCTCTAGAGTAAGACATCAACGAATAGTAATCTTTTCACCATAGGCCACCATAGGCCCGCTATCTAGTCTACACTGGCTATAGTACACAGATGCACGTTCGCTTTCTGACACAGTCCATGCGCTCGAGTCTGTCATCAATATGATGTTTTATTAACAAGGTGCGGGAGGAGCACGATCAGATAATCAATCAGTCTGGCCCAGGTGGAGCTCATCAGCTAATCACCTTAACAAGCACAATACGTATATATATATATATATATATATATATATATATATATATATATATATACACCCCACACACCTCAGTTACACACATCAAAAATATCTTAATTTGTGTTCCGAAGATGAACGAAGGTCTTACGGGTTTGGAATAACATGAGGGTGAGTAATTAATGACAGAATTTTCATTTTGGGGTGAACTATCTCTTTAAAGTATCCTCCACCATACTTCAGTGGGAACCTTGATATTTCCTAAGTATGTCAAAAAAATATTACCATTGTACAATAAACGCATCTATTTCTTTAAAGCGCATAATCTCAATCTGTGTTACTTTGGTTTTACAAAGTGATTATTATGATTCTGGAGGATCTTGCTGCAATTAAACATCATCAGTGCGGGTGTACTGTCTACACACAGGAAGCAGTTGTGTCCAACTCTTGTGGTGATTATGGGAAACCCAGCGAGTGATAAAACCATCACCTCTGCCCATGGTGGGCAATCCCAGGACTCAGACGCAGCACCGGGGACAGCGGTCTTGGATCAGGGCCGGGGTTCTGGCTGCTCATCAAGTGCTCCCGTCATGATTGGGCCAGTTGTTCGCACCATCTGCTATGTGGCAGCAGAGTTAGTCCGTCTGGTGGGCTGTGTCGAGTCCATGAAGCCTGTTTTGCAGTCCCTGTACCACCGTATTCTGCTCTACCCACCACCCCAGCACAGAGTGGAGGCCATCAAGATCATGAAAGAGGTGACACCTTCACACTTAGTATGCACACACAGTGTATTCTACTTACACACTATGTCATACTTCTAGTGTAACATCTCTTCTATGATGATCTAAATAGTAAAACACTTTAGACTTTTTTTTTTAATTATGTGGTGAAACATACAGTACTATATGCATATGCATTATTTCAAAATGCTTCTGGCTATGCATACTCAATTTCATGTGCCGCTGCATTTCAGAAGATTCTCATTTTATGCCACAGACATGGGAAAAAAAAATCTCTACTGCTTCCTTGAGTACTCAGGTTTTCCTGTACTAATAAACATGCAGTTATTCCCCCTGCCCCCCTCCAGATTGTGGGAAGTCCTCAGCGCTTGTTCGACCTGGCCGGCCCATGCGTCATTGAGCCTGAGACAAGAAAGCGGTCTTTCTCAAAAAGGAAGTCACATCTTGATCTTCTCAAACTGTAAGATATTTTGTTTCTTATTCAGTGACATTCAGACATATAAAGGCTGTTTCACACTGCACAAACAGATGGCGACCAACAATCACTTCAGTTTGTCTCTTGAGAAGGCCAAAATCTTAAAGAGGTCATGATATGAAAAATCAAATTTGCCTTGATCTTTTGGCATATAAGGGGATTTTTTGTACCATTAAAACATCCTGCAAGTCAGGGTTGCCAGGTTTTCACAACAAAACCCGCCCAATTGCTACTCAAAACTAGCCCGATCGCGTTTCAAGGGGGGTAAAATAAATTTTTCGGCAGGGTTCCTCCAGTAAAATTCGCATTCCAGGGGCTGAATATCAAGTTATTAGGGGCGCTTCAACCCGCTGACATAAAAAAACAACCCGCAGCAACAGTGTTAAAGTAGCCCAATTCCACGGGAAAACCGTGGACTTTGCAACACTGCTGCAAGTTTCATAGCTTAAAACATCCTCCTCATTATAAACAAAAGCATTTATTTAATCAAGCTCCAAAAATGGCTCGTTAGGATCTGAGGTGCAAGATAACATCACCTGGGCACAAACATTTGCATAAACACCACCTCTAGAGTAAGACATCAACGAATAGTAATCTTTTCACCATAGGCCACCATAGGCCCGCTATCTAGTCTACACTGGCTATAGTACACAGATGCACGTTCGCTTTCTGACACAGTCCATGCGCTCGAGTCTGTCATCAATATGATGTTTTATTAACAAGGTGCGGGAGGAGCACGATCAGATAATCAATCAGTCTGGCCCAGGTGGAGCGGCTGCTGCTCTGCGTAAAACACACAATGAAATTACTCTTTTCTGTATTCATTTTCACTAGCTTTTTACCTGTATTTTAAATTACACATTGTGCTCAGATAGACAGATAAGATGAAAAAGATTTGATTTTCGTGAAAATAAGTTAAACAGTGTACAATTATAGGTGCAAACTAACAACTAAGGTGTATCATAAAGAAACTATTATTATTATTAATATTATTGAACAAGTACAACTAGCAACCTAATTTGCATGCGTTGTGCATACTGCTAGGCACCTCTCTCCAAGTCTCTACCATCTGATGTGCTGCTTGGCTGGCTAGCTGTTTCAATACTTACTTCTTATTGTGTGGTTAAGAGGAAAAGCATGACTTTTAGTCATTTTATGATGTTGTCAAAGTCGTCATATTTCTCTTGCTACTTCTAATCCTTTTCCTTTTCAGTGGCCTCCAGCTTTTATAGTACACACTAGCGTGAGGCTGCCTCTGCAAGCTGTGCAGGCTGCACAGGCTCTCCAGCATTTCCTCCGAATATTACAAGCCCCGTGGCCTACAGCTACAGCAGCTGAAACAAGCGCAAAGCCGCTTACGCTTGCAACACATGCCCTCACATCTCAGTCTTTCCTCCTGTTACTTCTAATCCTTTTTTCTTTTCAGTGGTCTTCAGCTCCCATAGCACACACTAGCGTGAGGCTGCCTCTGCTAGCTGTGCAGGCTGCACAGGCTCTTCAGGATGTCACAAACCCCACTCCCTTCCCGTGGCTGAAAGAAGCGTGAGGCTGCCTCCGCTTGCAACTCAGGCCCACACGTCTCTGGCTTTTCCTCCTGTTTCTAATGACCTCTTTTTTCTTTTTTCAGTGGCCTCCAGCTCCCATAGCAGACACTAACCCGGAAACCGATTTAAACGTCAGTCTGCTTCTGCTGACAATTGCAGCCCATGCACCTCTTCCTCATAGCTCCCTACTTTCATTAAAAATTACATTGTCTTCCAGATCAAGTTCCGGCTCCCCTCGAGCTTCAAGACGCAGCAGGCCGTCAGTAGGTGCCCCAGACTCGGCTGCTCCTCACACTGCATTGCCTCACTCCTCTTCTTAACCAGTCACTGCGGCGCCTTCAGCTACAGTGCCGCACGCAACGTTGCCCGCTAGCGTAGCTTCCCAAACTCCTATCCTTCCCCCCTCCCTTCCTTCTACCTCCGGTGGCAGACGTTGGCGTGAGGCTGCCTCCGCTAGCCACTCAAGCTCAGCCACCTTACTCTTACCCTTCCGCTACTCCTTTTTTCCTGTCAATGGCCTGCAGCCCCTGCTGCAGACGTCCAAGCAGGGCATCATCAACCAGCAACGCAAGCTTATTGGCCTCCTCCCTCATTTCCTTCTACCTCTTCCTAAGTGCTTCCCTAAGCACCAGAGGCTAATCCGTGCGTGAGGCTGCCTCCGCTAGCCACTCAAGCTCAGCCACCTTACTCTTACCCTTCCGCTACTCCTTTTTTCCTGTCAATGGCCTGCAGCCCCTGCTGCAGACGTCCAAGCAGGGCATCATCAACCAGCAACGCAAGCTTATTGGCCTCCTCCCTCATTTCCTTCTACCTCTTCCTAAGTGCTTCCCTAAGCACCAGAGGCTAATCCGTGCGTGAGGCTGCCTCTGCAAAAAGTTACGGCCCCTCCTTATCTTCCTTCTAACCCTTCTCTCCAATCTAAACCTCAGTACATTTTATTCACAGCAGTCTCACTACCTACCTCACCAAATGCTGCAGCTCAGGAACCACCCCCTGTGCCTAATACAATCAAGTCTCAGTTTCTCGCAGAAATTCAGAGCGCTGGCTCCGGAGGCGGACCCAGCGCCAACCCCAGTACCTCACTATTCGCAACTCGTATTCCCATAACATATCCCTTAAAACCTCCTCAACGCGTCACTCGGTTCGATCCTCCAAGCAGTTTCACCCAGAACCATCCAGTCTTATCTAATTGCTTGGAGATGATTTAAAGCTTTCCACCTCTCGTACAACCTGCCATTTCCCGATTTCTTCCTCCTCTCAATCACATCTTTCGTTTCCTACCTTAACACCTGTAAGAAACTCCAAGCCCGGTCAATCAAAAGTTATCTAAGCGGCATCCAATTTTTTTCACAAATTAATCTACGGCGCCCCCTCTCCTGAAATAAACAATTCTCAAACATCTCTTTTGATCAAAGGAATTCAGCGCTCTCATCCGCCAAGCCCGGACGCT